TAATATCTTTCTACACTCAGGATCCCAGCTGCCTATGCTGCTCCAAGTTGGAACATCTGGAAATAGCGGGAAGTTGGGTCAAATCAGAGGCAATAGGAAATGCTGGCCCCTGGTTGAGGGTGTGACTTTGAAATACAGCATTTGCGTGAGGGCCTCAGTTCTACTTCCAGCACCACAAAGTCCAAGAGTAATGTAGGTCACCAGACCTGGGATCCCATTTCCCACTGTGAAGAAATGGATGTACTATCAGAGAATGTACCAAGTGATCCTCCAGGGTTGTGACCATCCCAGATGATCATCACCTTTGCTCCCCTTAACTATAGTAGATGTCAGTCTCTAAATCCCAATCCAGACGACTTTGGTAAGTTATTCAACAGGAACACCAACAAAGATGGCGAGACAAAAAGACAAAGTGATAGTAGAGCCCAAAGCAAAGACCTAATGCCCTCCGTAACACAGAGGGATGCACTAGGGTAAGAATAATATCTTTCTAGACTAGGGTAAGGATGGCGAGAATCTATGTGGTGAGCAGGAAGCTGTGGTCAACCCCTAATATGTACGCTTCATCCCACAGTATAACACAGTCCTATACTGTACGGTCCTAGAACTTAAGTTCCGTACTCCTTGATATCAACACCTGGAAAAAAAAACCAGGCTGTATATTGCTCTTAGAGATATTCATATTCATCTCCTTCCTCTCCTTATTTTTCTGTCTTCTCAATTAACAAGTCACCTTATTTTTTTAAGATTTATTTTTAGTCAGGCAGTGGTGGCGCACACCTTTTAATCCCAGCACTCATGAGGCAGAGGCAGGCAGATCTCTGAGTACGAGGCCAACCTGGTCTACAGAACAAGTTCCAGGATGGCCAGAACTACACAGAGAAATCCTGCCTCCATATTGGGGAAAAAAAATTATTTCTAACTGTGTGTATGTGTTTGTGTCTGTGTCAGAGTTATGTGTGTGAGAGCCATTGCCTACAGAGGCCAGCAGAAGGGTGTGTGATCTTGAGCAGGAGTTGCAGGTGATTGTGAACCAAGCTCAGGTCCTCTGTGCGAACATCAAGTGCTCTCAATCACGCACGAGCCGTCTCTCCAGCCCCAGTGAGTCCCTTTCTTACTAATTCTAAATGACATAACCCCTCACCTCTTTGGCCTGTTTTGTTTGAAAGGGTTACTATAGAAAATCCTGCCTAACAAGGTAGTCTCTTTCCTCCAGGGCCAGGGCCTCAGGGCTCACTTACCTGGCTCTTTAACCACATACAGGATGGCCTTTCCGCTGGTGTCTTCATAGTACTGGAATCTGACGACACAGTCGTTCTCATTCTTGTAGGTACAGTTCACGGCGTTTTTGCCAGTATCAGCTGACAGACGGAAGGGAGCACATGGAGAATGAGAAACAAGTCACGTCCCAGAGGAGAGCTTTTCCCAATCCCAGGTCATAGGATGTCTGGAAAGTTCATGACAGGAAACTCCCCGACACTGGGCAAGATGCCCAGGATGGATCACGCCTGGCAATTGGCACTGACTCTCCTGTGGTGATGAATTAGGTTTCTCGCTGGCCCTTTTTGGCTTAGTCCTTCCTCTGAATGGAGCCTGCGATAACAGTCTATAAAGTCAGTCCATTCTGATCCAGAGCCTGTCTCTAGCACCTAGCATCTGTGGTGCCGGCTGTGATCTGCCCTCATCATCTACATCTATGAAAGGAAACCGGTGCCCCCACCTTACGTGAGAATTAGGTAGCATCAAATAGTCACGCACACACACAGTTGGCATCCCCTCCCCTCCAGCTTCCTCTGCTTTCCCATTGCTTCTCAGTCTGCAGCCTTTCAGCTCCCTCATTCCTGCTCCAATCTGCTGTGCCTCTCACAGCCATCCCCCATCCCTGACTCCCACCAGACTTTGTAGGCTTCAGCCTTCTCATTCTGGAACCTGCGAGACCCTGCTAGACGCTGTGGCTTCCTCTCCACTTTGCCATATACTGATGGCTGCAGATGGGCGAAACCGACAAGGACGGCATCAGAGCACTATCACTTAGCTAGTGGGCAAGCCGAGACAGGATAGAGGGAGTAGATACCTACAATATGGTCGCAACTGTCTCTTTTCTGTCATTTAACTCTTCCTGTAGGGTGGGAGCCACCGCTTTTCTTTCACACATGAAGAAAAGTAGACTCAGTGAGTCAGATAAATACCCTTTCCCCCAGTCTAATCACAGAAAGTCTAGTGTGGAAAATTTCACTTCAAACGCCAACCTCTCTGTAACAGTCACAGGTCCAGAGACCTGGTTTTCTTATAACCCCCACACCGGAAGCTGTCTTCCGGTGGCTCTCACATGAAGAGGTACTTCCTGTCTGCATGGGCAATTGCTGTCTGTGCAGAGATTGTCGATTCCTGGGCACTACCTGGTCCCCCAAAACTCAGATAACATAAGATATATTGGAAGCAGCGAAGATCATCTTTAAAGACAGCATGGAGTTCAGGGCAGAATAACTGTAAGAAAGGATTTTGCTCCCCCTGTTTATACTTCTATCTTATTTCGGGGGGCTCCAGAAGGTCAATGAGCTTCAAGAGAGCAGTCATGATTATGTATCTACAATGCTGAAGGTTTCTCTCCAAACCAACAAGTTGTAAGCAAAAGCCTGGAAATTATTTAATACTGTTAGTAGATTTTGGTTTTTGTTTTATATATATATGGGTATTTTGCCTGCATATGTATGTTTGTGTACCATGTCTATGTGTGTCCATGGAGGCTAGAACGGCGCATTGGATCCTCTGGGACTAGAGTTTTAGGTGGTTGTGAGCCACTGTGTGGGTGCTGGGAACTGAGCCCAGGTCCTCTGCAAGTTGCTCTAAATCACTCCCGGGCTTACAGGTGTATGCCACCAGGCCCAGTGTTACTTACTCACCTTCTAAGCTACAGGTGGCAGTCACAGATCTACACCTTGGTTTCTTCATCTATAAAATCTAGTGTGTCACCCTCCTTTCCTTTAAGGGTAAACTCAGAATCATCTGACTTGTACTTCCTTTACAAGTTATGCACAGGTTCTTGCTGAGTCTGGGACTACAGGAAGCAGAAAGTGTGAGCTGCTGAACACATTTGCAAGGATGAAGGAGACTCTTAGGAAGCCAGCCTTCGCCATGTGCCTACTGCACATCAGGCCCGCACAGCATTCCTTGGGGTGGGAATTACTCTTCCACTTTAAAGAAGGAAGCCGGCAGGTTCTGAGGCGGAGATGGAGCTATGCACAGCCGGGATGTGTGAGGCCCCTAAGACCTGCTGGACTCACTCAGTTCTGTCACGGGCTCAATGTCATCACGGCAGTACCGGCTGCAGGTGTTTTCTTCATGGAGGGTTCCGCGGTTGAACTTCTTACACTCCACACACTCCCTGGAGGAGAGAGGACACAGCAACTAAAGCAAAGGAGGAACATCCCTAAGTACACCACATCCCTGGAAAGTACCATGGAGCTCGGTAATGAGGCCCTCCTCACCCACAGACGGGACCTGGCCAACCCACCCTGGATCTGAGGCAGAGCCTCAATACAGAGCCTAATCTGGTCTTGAACTGATCCCCTTGCCTCCGCTCCTGACTGCTGGGATTATAGGATCAAATAGGCTTCACGGAGCTTCAAGGGCTATGGTGGTTATGGTGGTGATGATGGTAGTGATGGTGATGGCAGTGGTGATGGTGGTGGAGGCAGTGGTGATGGTGGTGACTTCTCATCACTTCTGGGAGATTTAAGGTCAGAACTCGTCATGTGATGTATGAGTCCACTGAAAACTTACAGGTTCTGTTCAAACACAGCTAAGAATTTCAAGGCAGTGAAAACAAAGTGTTTAGCCCAGCATGAGGCTCTTTCTTCTAAGCACTGGTCCTACCACAGCCGAAGTGTTTAACTGTGAACCCGACAATGGCAGAACCACAAACTTAGGCTTCCTCTAACTTCCAAACAGGGCAAGTCTGTAGTGGCAAAATGCCCATTTCATCTGACACCCACCATAACGCCAGCCCCAGCACCTCCCGTAGGGATCGGAACATTGCATTGGAATGTGGAGAGAATGTCCTTTTTGCTTCCTCCCAATGCAAAGGGCTTTGTGATGCTACTCTGGAAGAGGGCTTGCTGCAGTTGCTACCACTCTGGTCCCTGCACAGCTGGTACCACCTCCAGCCTCCCCAAAGAAAGGCATCACAGAAAAAAGGAAAGTAGCCATTTGGCAGAAGCAAACCATTCTCCAAGCCTTATCCTTGAGAG